CGGACGCTGCCGTCGGCCTGTGGAGGTCGGTGGCAGGTTGAAGGTGAAGTGTGGTGTCGTTAGTGTTGTCAATCAGCTGATTTGTCCAGCTCGTCATGTCTTCGTGTATATGTGCCACCTTTTGGCGTGTATACTCATCAGTATCCCGAGATCGTTGTGAATACCGATCGAGTCGTTGCTCGTAGGCTCGGAGACGGGCGCCGTGCGCCTCCAACGCACTTTCCAGACGTGCGGGGGCGCCCCTCAACACGTATTTTCTCAGTGTCTCTTTCACGAATAACCTGGGAGAGCTCTAACTGCGTGTGGTCCGCCGCCTTCTCAACCTCCTGCAACCTGTCAGTGAGGCGGGCGAAATCGTAAACCGTGGGAGGGGAATCCAGCTGGCCAGTCTGGGCTCGTCCGACACGCAACTCTCCCAGGGCGTCCTGTACGCCAGGAAAACGCTGCTCGATGTCAGAGATCCGGTTAGCAAGTGGCTGCACGACAGCATTGGTCGCATCAAGCCTTTGAGTGATGACTCTCAGTACGTTGCAACATGTCGATCAGGTTCGACGAGTTGGTGTGTGCTTCGGTGCGAAGCGTCGCCGTAGTGTGGTCCATGTGGGAGCGAAGATCGTTGATCTGAGACTGAACGTCGCCAAGGTCGGTGGCCTCGGCTGGTGGTGGTCGGTTGCGGAGTTGGTCATGGATCTCGTCGTGGGGGATCCTGACTGCCGAAACGCCTGCGTCGCGTACGAGCACAAGTTGTTGCTCCATCTGCGCGAGGTAGTTGCGCAGGTTCTCGACCATCGCCGATCGTACACCTGAGCGTGACATCTCACGGTCAACCTGGTGCTGCAGCTCACCTAAGATGCGTCGATCTTCGGCGATCCTGGAATCTATGATCCCTAAGACTCCGTCAAGATCTTGGCGTAGAGCAGCAGTATTGGCCGCGTTCGTCTGAACACTCTGCAGTAGTCCAGAGTACTGCCTGGGCACGAAGGTTTCAACCGGGTCTCTGAGCTCAGCTATTTCGCCTGCAGCGGACGTCTCCGCAGGCAGGTCGTCTGAGATGGAGAGGTGGGGAGCGTCAGCTTCCCTCGGCACCCTCTCGCGAGGAGTGCATGGCCTCTGCGAGGCAGCACGCGGACTCGGCCTGCTCTCGTCGCATGGGCCTGTGGCCCCACGGCGGTTGCGCAAGGACGAGCTGCGGCTAGGACCGTGTGTGTGTGGTGTCGCATGAGATGATACCTTGGGGTACTGCGTCTGCGGCTGTGCCGCCACTGGTCTACTGAGTTCCTCGAAGGTGGCTACGTGCTCCGCTACAGGAACGGTCGCAGGGCTGGGGGTGCCAGCACCTGAAGTCCATCGGCGGTTAGCGCGAAAGCGCCCTGGAGTATCAGGACCAGCGAGGCTCTCGCCCGACGCAGTTGGGATTGCTCCCGACGGAGGAGGAGATGGAGGATCGAAGGTAGGCGTGTGAAACTCCTTATCCTTATTCCTTATTAGAATATACTCCTACTCCCCCCTCAGGCCGGCAGATAGGGGCCCCATCCGGGTGGTCCCATCCTAACCTGTAAAAAACAATACAGAATCAACACGTTTCTTATTTTTTCCTCTCGACATGGACGTCCTGTCGTCCACGGCGATGATCAATTGCAAACAAAACCACAAAGAGCACACGCGCGCGTTCATGTCAGAATCCTACCGAACACCGTGTGTTTGCAAGCATTTCAACATAAAAACATCAAAAACCATATGCTTTTTCACAAAAAAAAAATACAAATGTCCTGCCCGGGCTCTCTTGCTGAAATCATAGGAAAACCATAGGAATCTTAAGAATTCTGTCAAATCCAGCGATTTCACGTCATCGCGCGGTGCACTCGCGATGCTCTGTCATGCACCCAGGCCGCGAATCCTGCGCAAAAAATGCCACGCGGGCGACATGCGCGCGCGTCGCCGCGAGCGCATGCTCAAATCCTTCTAGAGTCGTCGCCGTCATTGGCACCGTCGTCGCCTTCTAGAGTCGTCGCCGTCATTGTCCTGTCAGACCGTCGGGCTTCCTCCGGCCACCTCTGGCTTCCTGCGGTGTACCGGGCCATTCTCGACTCGTCTGGCAATGCGTGCGCGGCATTCAACACGCGCTCGCCAGTTCCCGTCGGCAACCGCCATCGCGGCCGCATCAGCTGTACCAAACCGGCTGGCCGGTGTGACTTCGGCCCCCAGTTGTGCCAGCTTTGCTTCTTATGTTGTGGGAGGGCGGGTGGGACTGGGCATGCCATGCTTGACTCGCTCGAGCTGGCTAGCTTGACTACCTGCTCCTACTCCTTCTCCTGCCCCCCCGCGGGCGGCATGGCGGCGAAGTCCAGCAGCTAGCCGCGCCTCGGGTCCGTCGGAGCTGGGGGGGGGGGGGGCACCTGGGACACCTACACAGTCCACACTAAGGCTCTCCAACTCGTCACCGAGCCGTCGCGCCGTCGGAGAGCTCGGACGCGAGGCCCCGATGGACCCCTTGCAGCGCAAGCGCCGCTTGGGTTCCATCGAGGCCGCGTGCGAGATCGCGACGCGGGGTTCGATGAACTGTGAGCTTTAAAGGGCTGATCCGTTGGTAGAGGTATGGGGGGGAAGATGGATATCTTTTCCTCCTGCGCGATCAAAGGTCTGATCGATCTATTCCAATACCTGAGCCCAAATGGCCAGACGCAGGAGAGGTAAAGATAAGGAGTATATATGAGGGTACTACACGGGTTCTATTCACAGTTCCCGACGTGACGAGCGCGAAGAAGACTCTCCTCGCCGAGGCGTCGACCTTGCGCGCCGCGTTCGGCCCCAACGACACGGCGAAGCTCGTGCTCCACGGTGTCCACTGGGACAAGTTCGAAGAGAACTTCCACCTCAACGAGGCCCCGCAGTTGGCATGGGTGCTGCCTGACAACTGGGCCATCAATGAGTCCTGGGCCTCGCACGTCGCAGTGCTGTGGCCGATGCCCGGCTCGACGATCAGCTGCGACCACGAGAAGCAGCAGATCGCCACCGAGCGCGGCAGCTCCGAGGACGACGACCAGCTGAAGCGCGCCAACCAGCTCGCGATCGGTCGCGACGACGAGGCCATCAAGAACGAGCAGTTCAAGAATGCCTTCGAGCAGCAGCGAGCGTTTGTCGAGAAGCCGCGGGGTGCGAGCTCGAGCGGCAAGGAGGACGACGGCCAGACGAAGTGGGAGAGCTACGACGAGTCCAAAATGGTTGATTACGACGGCCAGAAGGTTAACGAGAGCTCCCGCGAGACGGACAAGTCCTACGAGACCGTCGGGTGCGGGTTCGTGCGCAAGTAGCTGAGGGCACGGCTTCAGCGCGATGACGACGGCGAAGACGACGACGACGAAGACGACGACGACGACGACGCGCCGCGGCCAAGGCCGTGGGCTTTGAACCGCGGTGGCACAGAACCTGGCGCGGAGGGCTATGTGGTCAGGGGCCCCATGGCTGCCAGGTTCTTCCTCCGACCGGCGATGACGACGACTACGCCGACGACGACGCCCACCGCCAGCCCGTCAGTGCGCCTGCTGCGGCTCGACAACAACGAAACCGCCAGCAACGTTCGCCGTCCGCGGCGCAGCGGTCTTCCGCTCAAGCTAACGATATACACCCCCACCTCCACCTCTTCCAATTTCCTCCAGTTTCCTTTTCCCTCCACCGAGCGGTCTTCCGCAAAAAACAGAAACACCAAAAAACAATAACAAATAATAAGGAAACTCGAGAACTACAAAAACACGCCAGAACCATGTAGTTATATATTTATATTGATATACATTCCATAAGTTCCATACGTTCCAAGCAATATGACTCCCACAATCAACATATGTACACATATGTACATATGATGTGCAAACTGTATGATATCGTACACGCCGGCCATGTGATTTAGCTGTTGCTCTTCACTCACTACAACTCCACACTTGTGACTACAAGGCATGCTGTGTTATATTGAGTAGGGATCAGTGCCGTTCAAGTAGAATTGTAATCACTATTGTCGCTCAAGTGCCGTCAGTTGTCTCAGGAGGAGGAGGAGAAGGAGGAGGAGGAACAGGAGGAAGAAAAGCAGGAGGAAGGAGTCGGACGAGGACGAACAGCAGCAGCAGGAGCTGGAGTAGAAAAAGTGGGAGGAGCTGGGGGACCAGGGGGAGGAGGAGGAAAAGAAATGAGGGGGCGACAACGATGACTAAGGACTCGGATGCGAAAAAGTGGCCCGGGCTGGGGCGAGAGCGCCATTCTGAACGGCGGGAGCACAACGCCGATCCGAAAATGAGGTCTACGCTGCAGCAGAAGCACCATTCTGAACCACCGAAAATAATCGGAGTACAACAAAACATGAAAAACAACGTTGGAAAATCTGCGCACAAAAATGGGACGCGGAGAGGGAGGGACATCTTCCGCACAGGGCCAGGGGAGAGAGGAACGTAGCACCCATTGGAAGGGGGAGGAGAACACAGAACGGAGGAGGAAGGACGAGTGGTCTGGGGAAGAGGGAGACGAGAGAGGCGAGCTCGTCCCTCCTCCCTCTTTTCTGCCTCCCTCATCACTAATTTCGCCTTAGCCTCCTACTCGTCCTCCCCCCGAAGAAAGAGACCGATGAGGAGAAAACAAGAAAAGGGAGGCTGCAGCAGGAAGACCCGGGCAGGCCGGGAAGAGAGGGACCAAACAGAAGGGCCCAAGGTTCCCCCATTAGCCGCTCGGAAGGAATGTGCCACTCGGCTGCCCTTGGACCGGAAAGGAGGGAGGAGGGAGGAATCACGAGGGAAGACGAGTGAGGGAGGAAGGGAGGGAGGGAGGAAGGAGGAATCCTCCTCTTGTTTCTCCATTGTTCTGGGAATCCTCCTTCATCCTTCTCATCATTTTTGTTCCCCCCTCCTCCCCCATGTCCTATCCATCTTCCCAAGCCACGCCCAACAGCCTGGCCCAACAGCCTCCCTCATCACCCCCGCCTTCCCATCCAACAACGCCAAAAACTGCGCGAAGCCCACCTTGAGTGCCAGCTCGGTCGCGACATCGGAGTGGAAGGGGAGGGCCACGATCTTGAAGAGGTCGCCCACTGCCTCGGCCATAGCGTGGCGCCAGCGCCAACCAACTCACCCCCTTGCAACCAGCATTGTATTGCTTTCCATGCCCTCCTGCCTTCCCTTGTCCTCCTCCTCCTCCTCCTTCTCCTCCTCCTTCTCATCCTCATCATCACCACCATGGTAATCATCATGATCATCATCATCACCACCAGAATCATCATCATCATCAGCAGCAGCATCATCACGAGCATCATCAGCAGCATCAGCATCATCAGCATCATCATCACTCATCGCCCATCACCCATCACACATCACCCATCAGCATCATCATCAGCAGCAGCATAATCATATTCAGTGTCATCATCATCACCATGGTCGTCGTCAGCATCAGCACCAGCATCAGCACCAGCATCATCACCATCATCATCATCATCATCATCATCAGCATCATAGGCATCGTCATCATCAGCGTCAGCATCAGCATCATCGTAGTCGTCGTCGTTGTCATCATGATGGCGATCCTCATCATCGCCATCATCATCAGCAGCATCGTCACAACCATCAGCATCATCACCACCATCTTCATCATCATCCTAGTCAGCATCATCATGATCACCATCATCACCACCATCATCACCATCACCACCACCACCATATTCATCACCAGCATCATCGTCATCATCATTGTATTCATCACAATCATCGCCATCATAATCAGCAGCATCCTCAGCATCATCAGCAGCAGGATCCCCTGCATCCCCATCATCATCAGCATCATTACCATCAACATCATCATCATCGTCATCAACATATCACCATCATCAGCATTATAATCATTATCATCATCGTCGGCATCACCGTCAGCATCAACATCATCACAATCAACACCATCGTCATTAGAAGCATAATAATCGTAGTCGGCATCATAAAGAAAACATCGTCATCAACAGCATCATAATTAATATCATCATCAGCATCATCACCTTCATCATCATTATGATCAGTACCGACATCATCATCAGCAGCATCGTTACCATCATAAGTAGCATGATCAGTACCACCATCGACATGGTCGTTATCATCATCAGCATCATGACCATCGCCATATCAGTGTTATAATCTCCGTTGGTGGCATCATTATCATGCTTAGCCTCGTCATTATCGACAGCAACATCATCAACAATATCAGCCTAATCATCCGCATCGTCATCATCAATATGATTAGCATTATCATCACCACCAGCATCAACATCAACATCAACATCAACATCATCATGCCCCCCCCTTCCACCCCCTCTGTCACCATGTCGACCACGGGCTCCAGCCCAAGGCGAGGCTACGCTCCCCTGAGGAGGTGGCGCTTAACACACCTCCACAAAGACACCGAACTACTGCAAGCCGATTTGGGCGCGGGATCTTGATGGGCATGGCCTACTGGCCTGGCCGGGAGCCGACATCCACCAAGGTCTGGGCCAAAATCGGGCACGTGGAGGTTTGGTGGTGAAAGCTTCATCCTCCCGATGCCCCCCGCAAGCTGCGTGCTGTGCAAGGTCATGGAAGAAGTGAGGCCCCACGGAGTCGCCCTCCTAATCCTCCTCCTGCCTGGTCGCCATTTGTCCTCCTCCGCCTTCCTCGCTCCTCCTCTCTCCTCTTGCCCCCTCATCGTTCCTCCTCTCTCGCCGTCTCGTCCCCTCTGATCCTCCTCCATCTCTTTTCCTTCTAATTCCTCCCTGTCGTACCCCGAGATGTGTCGATAGGGCGGGCCGGGCGCTTCACTTGAAACTTCCTCACACTGTACGAATTTGAAACTTTAAAAAGGCAACAGCTTTACGGATGGAGGGCGGGTCGTTTTCAACATGTGGCTCTCGCCTTAGCGCCACGCACAATCGTCTTCAAAGCATGCGAGACATTCACGGGTGGAGGGCGGGTCCTTTTCAACTGTGGCTCTCGCCTCAGCGCCGCGCACATTCATCTTAAAAGCTCGCAGAGAACTTCACCGATGAAGGGCGAGTAATTTCCAAAATGTTAGCTCTCGCCTTAGCGCCGCGCACATTCGACTTGAAAGTTTGCAAAATCTTCACGGATCGAGGGCGGGTGATTTTCAATATGTAGCTCTCGCCGTGGCGCCGCGCTCCCTCGCCTTGAAAGTTTGCAGAACAAATAAATTACTCCGACGGAAAGACCCCAAATGAGAATCTCTTTAGCTTGCATGGGGGTATCCTCCCACCTACTCTTGCCTCCTCGTTCTCCTCCTGTCTGCTCCTCCTCCTGCCTCAACCCCTGCCTCTTCCTCCTCTTCTTGCCTCCTCCAACTCCTCCCCCTCCCCCTCGTTATGCTTCCTCCCCCCCCTTCCCCCTGCCCCTCCTGCCTCCTGCCTCCTCCTCCTGCTCTCCCTCTCCCTTCTCCTCCTCCTCCTCCTCATCCTCCTCCTCATCCTCCTCCTCATCCCCTGTCCTCCTCCTCTCCCTCTCCCTCATCCGCTTCCTCCTCCCCCTCCTCCTCCTCGTTTCCATATTCCTCCCCCCTCCTCCCCCCCCCTCCTCCTCCTCCTCCTCCTCCTCCTCCTGCCTCCTCCTTAGGCCTCCTGCCCCCTCCTGGGGCCTCCTGGGGCCTCTTGGGGCCTCCTGGAGCCTTCTGGGCCTTCCGGGACCTACTGGGGCCTCCTCGGGCATTCCTCCTCCTCCTTTTCCTCCTCGTCCTTCCTCCCATCAGCCTCTTCCTCTTCCTGCTTTCCTGTCTCGTCCTGCATCATCCCTCCTCCTTTTCCTGGCAATCCTCCTCCTCCTCGTCCTCGTGCGGAACACGACCCAGAGGAAGCGCACGACGTGCGTCCCAGCCGATACGCGCCGGAGGACGACCCAGAGGAAGCGCGCGCCGGAGGATGACCCGGAGGAACCACGTGAGCTGCGGGACCCATAGGAAGGCTCCCGCCTGACGCGTCCTCACAATTCACTCACAGACGAGGGTCCCGCTTGATACTTCTTCCAAATTCAGACCTGAGGAGCCCAAAAGTGACGACAGTTACAGGAATCCGATGACCCGCTCGGATTAGTAACATGATCCGCGGGCCCCATAGGGAGGGGGCTCCCGCCTGAGACTTGCTCGCAATTCGCTGACAAACGAGGCTCCCGCCTGATACTTCCTCCAAATTCAAACCTGAGGAGCCCAAAAGTGACGACAGCTACAGGGATCCGATGACCCGCTTGGATTAATAACATGATCTGCGGGCTCCATAGGGAAGGGGCTTCCGCCTGAGACTTCCTCACAATTCACTCACAGACGAGGTTCCCGCTTGATACTTCCTCCAAATTCAGACCTGAGGATCCCAAAAGTGACGACAGTTACAGGAACCCGATGACCCGCTCGCATTAATAACATGATCTGCGGGCCCCATAAGGAGGGGGCTCCCGCCTGACGCGTCCTCACAATTCACTCACAGACGAGGGTCCCGCTTGATACTTCTTCCAAATTCAGACCTGAGGAGCCCAAAAGTGACGACAGTTACAGGAATCCGATGACCCGCTCGGATTAGTAACATGATCTGCGGCCCCATAGGGAGGGGGCTCCCGCCTGAGACTTCCTCACAATTCACTCACAGACGAGGCTCCCGCTTGATACTTCCTCCATATTCAGACCTGAGGAACCCAAAAGTGACGACAGTACAGGAATCCGATGACCCGCTCGGATTAATAACATCATTTGCGGGCCCCATAGGGAGGGGGCTCCCGCCTGACGCGTCCTCACAATTCACTCACAGACGAAGCTCCCGCTTGATACTTCTTCCAAATTCAAACCTGAGGAGCCCAAAAGTGACGACAGTTACAGGAATCCGATGACCCACTCGGATTAATAACATGATCTGCGGGTCCCATAGGGAGGGGGCTCCCGCCTGAGACTTGCTCGCAATTCACTGACAAACGAGGCTCCCGCCTGATACTTCCTCCAAATTCAGACCTGAGGAGCCCAAAAGTGACGACAGTTACAGGAATCCGATGACCCGCTCGGATTAGTAATATGATCTGCGGGCCCCATAGGGAGGGGGCTCCCGCCTGAGACTTCCTCGCAATTCACTCACAGACGAGGCTCCCGCTTGATACTTCCTCCGAATTCAGACCTGAGGAGCCCAAAAGTGACGACAGTTACAGGAATCCGATGACCCGCTCGGATTAGTAACATGATCTGCGGGCCCCATAGGGAGGGGGCTCCCGCCTGAGACTTCCTCACAATTCACTCACAGACGAGGCTCCCGCCTGATACTTCCTCCATATTCAGGCCTCAAGTCAGCGAGTAGTGATGATGATGATGATGATGATGATGATGATGATGATGATGATGATGATGATCGTTCGATGCCGATGATGGTGAGTGATCGTGGGATGGTGATGGTGATGCTAATGGTGATGATGATGATGATGATGATGATGAGTGGGGAGTGATGATGATGGTGATGATGATGCGGAGGAGGAAGCAAAGAGGAGCAGAGGAGAGGGAGGATGAGGAGATCCTGCGCGGAGGGTGTGCAGAGAAAACAAAAACCCCACTTAGGATGTGGGGAATAACAAAACACTTCACGGATGGAGGGTGGCTCCGTTTCAAAATGTGGTTCTCGCTTGAGCGCCGCACGCATTCGTCCTAAAGCTTTCGAAAGCTCTACGTGTGAAGGTCGGTTCCTTTTCAACAAGTGGTTCTCGCTTTAGCTTCGCGCACATCAGTCTAAGCGGTCTGCCAGCTTATCACGAATGGGGGACGTTTCAGAATGTGGATCTCGCCGTCGCGCCGCGCACATTCGTTTCAAAAGTTTACGTCATATCAACGGGCTCTTATGGTTGACGTCCCAGGGATGGTGTTCCAGCGCGACTTCGGAATTCCAGGGCGCAACAGTCGCGATGAAGTCCCAGGGAAGGCAATCTGGCATGATGCAGGATCGTTCGGACACATCAGTAGAGTCTGAATTCATTCGTGGCGTTGATATCTCAGGAGAGTAGGTTCGGTGCGATGGAATATTATCGAACGGTTGTTTTCAAACGGAGCACTTCCCGCAGTGATGATGACTTGTAAGGACTGGTGGCGAAGGAATTTGGAGAGAGGGTGCATTGCATCATCGATGATGCGTCTTGAGTTTACACTGGTCCATCTCCTCATCGTCCTCCTCTGTATCCCCCTTTATCCTCCTCCTCCTCATCCAGCTCCTCCAACTCCTCCTCCTCATCATCACCATCAGCATCATCAGCATCAGCATCAGCACCAGCAGCATCATCAGCATCACCAGCATCATCACCAACATCATCATCACCACCACCACCATCATCATCATCATCATCATCATCATCATCATCATCATCATCATCGTCATCATCATCATCATCATCATCATCATCATCATCACCATCACCAACATCTTCAGCACCAGCCGCAGCAGCAGCAGCAGCAGCCTCCTTGTCGTCCCCCTTCCCCCTCGCCTCCGCCGCCCGCCCAAGATCTCCGACGTCCCGCTTGTCCCAAAACGTGGGGCCTCTGAGCGCTCGACCCCATTCTGGGTTGACTTCGCGCCGCGTGCAGTTCCTTTTGGGCCCCGGCGCCCGAAACGGCCTCCAGATGGCCCAAAGCCAGAAAGCCACTCATCGCGTTGTTACTTGGGACGCCAAAGGTCTGGGCGACGGCAGCGACGACGTCGACTGCAGCGGCGACGACGGGGACGAAGACGGCAATTCCCACTCCCTTCAAGCACGGTGGCCTCGGTCAGCGCCGTGGCGCCCGACGCAGTACCCGCCACCTCTCCGCGGCGCAAGCGAGGATGGTCACGGGAGGCGGGAACATCTTCCCTCCTCCTACCCATCCGTGCTGTGATGTCTAAAGATTTCTGGAGGGTTTGCTCTGGAGATATAGGCAGAGAGAGGTGACTAACATGCGTGTCTGCAGCGCCGGCGCTTGGGCTCGAGCTGTGAAAGGTGTGCTCCTCTTCCCCACAGAAGCAGCAGCGGGGCGGCGGGAGCGATAGTGGTCACGGCATTTCGACAGAGTTTGAGCTGGGACGAACCTTGCCGACGAGACGATCGAGCGAGGGCGAGCTCCAGCTAAAACGAGGTTGGTAGCAGAGCTCGTGGTTGGCCCCACGACTCCAAAAGTCTGAGAGAGACTAGCCATCTCATTGAACACGGCCATGGCTGACTACAGTAGCGCTGTGGACCCGAATATACCGGTGCTGAGGGGAGAGACGCTGAAGGACTTCACCCGCTACAAGGCAGCAGCTCAAGCAGCGGAGCTGAGCTGCGAGAGCAAAGAAGCGAAGCAGGCGCTCGGTCCGAAGCTGTACCGCAACCTGCTGGGCGCGGAGAACTCCATCAGTGTGCTGATTGAACAGACGATTCCCAAGGACTACGCGACGGAGGATGGCGCCCAGGCACTGCTGAGAGTCCTCGTGGAGCAGCGTTTCGCCAAGAGCAGCTTCAGGGAGTTGCCGAAGGCTTTCGACGCATTCTTCGACCAGACTCACTTTGAGAAGGAAGGCGAGGAACCGATGGCAGCGTTCTGCACGGCAATGGAGGTGGCGAAGCGCAATCTCGAGGAAGTGGACCCGGACATGAAGATAAGCGCCAACGAGCTTGGGTACAACGCGCTGAAGAGAAGCGGACTGGACAAGGATGAGCGCAACTTAGTGATAGCACGAGCGGACGAGACCTTCAATTTCCAGAAGATTAGCACGACGCTGAAGAACCTCTTCCCACGAGGCGGAGGTCGCCACCGGGATCGACAGGGATCGCGCACGAGCTGGCGCTGGGCGAACTACAACGACGGCAAGCGCGACCCCGAGGAGGAGGGCCCGCACGTCGAGCACGACGGGCACTGGGTCCAGGACGACGACGGGTACTGGTACGAGTGGGACGAACGGTACGGCGTCTGTGCGTTCGGGGAGGACGGCGACGACGGCTGGGACGGCAGCGACCTGTTCTACATCGAAGATGACACCGACGTCTACCTCGCGGGCGAGGGCGACGAGTACCAGCAGGCCCTCGTCATGTGTGAGGGGGAGGGGGACCGAAGGACCGAACCCACCCCCAAAGTGTCCGTAGGTAGACGTGATGAGGATGATGGAAGTTGTCCACTTCACCCTCTGAGTACGAGTACCTGCATCCGAGCCGAAAGGGGCGATGGATATGAGCAAGATAGGAGGAAAGTAGGGGGATTCACACACACCCCCCGTCCCGATCCCGCCCGATGCCCACGCACAAAGGCGAAAGGCACCGAAGCGGGGATCGGGATAGGAGAGTGAATCTCTACTGATCTCCTGTCTGCAATCCACTGCTTCAGCCCAGGAAGGAAAGAAGGGACAGCCAAAACTCTGTCGTAAGGTTCGCACCCAACGGCGGCGCTAACCCGCAAACAAAGTTTTACAGCGCCTGCCGCCGAGATAGAACCCAGGACAGTGGTGTGGGCTGGAGAGAAGTGGAATGGAGAGACTGAGCTCTTATGACACCGACCCAAACGGTCGGTGCCCGAAGCAACACATGATATGAATGCAACGATGTGTGCAATGAGCCAGATCCAATCCAAAGCAAAACGCAAAACATTGAGATATGAGGAGTAGAGTGCATGCGCAAGTTCCAAGAAAATCTTGTACGTCTTGCACCAGTAATGAAGAATCAAGTGTATTTATGCAATTATGCTTTTTCACATGTTTTTGCAATTGTGCATTTTCAACAGTACATGCTAGACAATCATCTTTGTGGCTCTTTAGGCCGTTTTGTCAAGACTGCAATCGATAATAAGGTTGTCACCTGCTCTACTATCGCGAAGCTAACGTCCCAGAGATAACGCACAAAACTTATGCCATCGCTCCAACCAAATTCTCGGCGTCGGCTGTAAGAAATGGTGAGTAGGCTGGTTGCGGTACCTTTTCATATACAGCTGGGCCTGTCCATGGTGACAAGTATGGTTTTGATATCGACCAAGATGTGAGAGGCACGTCAAAAGTCAGAAGAAATTTGGAAGCCATCAAAATTGTATGCAGATGTCATCGTCCATCATGATGTGGTGCTGGTATGCTCTGATGTCCATGAGGTACAACTGCCGAGCCTGCGTAATCAGCGGCGGCAGAACCAGCGGCACGCCATGGGGGCGCCATAGGAGGCGGAACCATGGCTCGAGGACGCGCCACATGATGTACCGTAAGGGGAGTTGTGGTGTGTAGGGGGGGCAGGGTCGGCCTCCGCTCCCCCTTTCGACGTGCCCTTCGCAGCGCCGTACTCGCTGCGGTTGCCCGCTGCAATTTCGGCGTCCAGATGGGCAGCACCCCTTATGACATCTGTTATGTAGTCAGACCACGCACGATCGGCGCTCGGGAGAGCGACGGCGTCTCTGGTCTCCGGACCGAGAGTGGGCGAATGGAAGCCGGGGCCAGGATCCAGCGATCGATCCGCGTCCGATCGGCGATCGGGGTCCCAATCGACCGGCTGATCGGGCTGGTCGGCGGTGGCTGAGCTCGCGGCTACCTGCTGTCGAGGGAGGACACAAAAACAACCTGAACGCGAGGGAGGCGTCTGCCTCTTCAGCACAGGGGGGTCCGAACTAAGAGCCGGGGTCTTGATTTTGACCGTCTGTCGAAAGAACAACGGCTTAGCCAGAGCCAGCGGGCTCCTGCTTCGGGATTTCTTCAGCCGAATCGGATCCGGAGAGTCCTGGGAGCGGGAAGATTTTCCGTGCCGGGTCGTTCCTGGAGAGTCCCGTGATCCGCGCCGCGGGGGCAGGGGAGGTGGGTTTCTCTTCCTGTGTCCAGATCCTCTGGGCGCTCTGGTGTCCAGATGCTCTGATGGAGCAGCAGCCGGGCGTGTCCTTGAAGACGTAACAGAAGCATGCGGCTTTTGAGCCGGAGCTGAGTCATCTCCTTGCCGTGGCTGGTCCTTCGTGGCGCCGCAGCACGGACAGGGCGCGCTAGTCGGAGCCAACTCGACCGTGTCGATTTCGCAGGCGTCCGTCGGGACGAAGGTATCGTCGCAGGCATGTGATTGCCATGTGACGGTGCCACAGCAGAGCAATTTGACCTTGCGCCTCGAATGAGCCTCTGGGCGTCGACGACAGTGCCCCCCCGGATTCGGTGGAGGCGGAAACACTAACTCCATGTTATCGGCGTCAACGTGTGGTATGTAGTCGCGAACAGGGGCCCTCCGTGATGGTCCACCATCTGGTGGGGAGAGAACACACCCATCTTTTCTGCTCCAATGGATGGTCCAATCCTCATCCTCGACGAGACGACCCATGGAAATAACAGACGGACAACCTTTGAGAGCCAAAGAACCTGTGTGCAAGTTAATGGAAGGCACAGAAATATTGATGTGCTCATTAACAACTCGATCGCCGTTTGCTGTTTCCAATACGTATTCATGTCCACGACGAATACCACATGTTTCAGCTTGAGTCAAATCGTCCTTGTCCGTGATGTGGTGCGCAGAACCACTATCCAAGACCCAAGACCGTGCGAGAACCGCGGGGGACTTTGCTGCAGTTTCCTGCTGCATGGTCCCTGCTGCAGTTCCCTGCTGCACTAGCCCTGCTGCAGTTCCCTGCTGCACTAGCCCTGCTGCAATTCCCTGCTGCACTGCCCCGGCTGGGACAAGCGGCATGCAGGTGTCGAGGTCGTCGTCCAGGCGCTCGGTCAAACGGATGGCGTTCTCGATTGCCTCCTGGAGCGCATCCGCGGAGGTCTGCAGCCAGTGGTCCGGAAGAACATCAGGAACGTGGACCACATATCCCTGGTTAGGGGAAGTACGGTGTCGACGCATTTTGGTCTGAACAGGGAAGTAGTGAATCTCTGTGGCTGCAAAGTTCCATTGCAAGCCTTTCGGCGTCTGAGTCTTCCTGCCAGGGACTACAGCGAGAGCGAAGGATCGTGGACGACAGACGTCAACTTGAGGTCGAAGACAGCCGGGAGGCCGATCACAAGGGCTCGGGTCGTGATCATTGCTTTGGCTGCTGCGGCGTCGGTCGCGGGAGGGGGAGCGCCGTAGTCGACAGGAGTCGTAACAGCGCGTGCCCCCCGGACTGTTGGACACTCGCGTGCTGTGTCCAAACTGGGGGCCTGGCGAGGCACCAGGCAGGGCGCCAGGCTCGGCGCCGGATTGGGAGCCGGGCTCGGAGCCGAGAAAGGTGCTGCGCTCAGAACAGCCGGGTTGGGGACCGGACTCGGAGCGGGACTGGGAGCCGGCAAAGGCGCCGGTCAGGGCGCCGGGCTCGGAGCTGGTCTGGGGGCCGTGCTCGGAGCCGGCCTGGCAGCCGGCGCGGGTGCCGGTCAGGGCGCCGGGCTCGGAGCTGGTCTGGGAGCCGTGCTCGGAGCCGGGGGGGGCGCCGCCAGGCAGCAGTGCGCCAGGTGGGGAACCGGGCTGGGAGCCGGCCTGGGAGCCGGCAAAGGCGCCGGTCAGGGCGCCGGGCGGCGAGCCGGGCTGGGGGTTACGCTCGGGGCCGGCCTGGGAGCCGGCGCGGGTGCCGGTCAGGGCGCCGTGTTTGGAGCGTATGACGTACACTCGGTTCCAGGGAGCGGCAGGTGACCGGGCCCTCGTGCTCGTGCTGCTCCGCTGGCTGGTACGGTCTGAGTCGCGAGAAGGTCGACGTCCGCGCTGGGAGTCGTCGTGGAGCGTGCCTTCCTGACTCTCATACCCGTCTTGGTTGGGAGCGGGCCGAGATCGCCAGTTATCCCAGGTCTGAGATTGGGAGGCGTCACGAGGAGGCTGCTGAGATCCCCCCGGACTCCTGGACGAACGGTGGTTTCGACCAGATTTCGGTCCACGCGAGGGGGGGCGGCCACGGCTGTCCTGACTCCGCGGGCGGCTGGTGCTCTGTGGCGGAGTCGCAGCGTTGGCTGCCAGGTGTGCGTAGGTGCACGCGTCGCCCTTGGCGCAGTGGCCTGCCTGGAAGTAGCTGCAGGCGGGCACGTGGGGGTAGCGGCAGCGGTCGCCGTACGAACAGGCACCAGTTTTGGCGAATCTGTGGCAAAACCGCGCGGCGCCGCCGTGAGGCTGCTGCGAGCCGGGTGGCTGGGCGGAACGCTGGGGCTGGCGAGTGTTCTCGCTGTGAGGGGCGCCAGTGTCAGGGCGGCTGCGGGAGTCCACCATGTGCAGGAGCTTGCACGCGTTTCCCTTGGGGCATTTGCCCTTGCTGAAGGGCACGCAGAAGCCAGTCTTCGGAGAGACGATGGCTGCGGTGTCCCTGTTGCCTGTCCTCAGGTGGTACTGGTTGCGCCGCGTTCGGTGTAGCTCAAGAACAGCTGTGACTCGGTGGTGGAGCCAAGTGTAACAGCGCTCTGGTGCCCCTTTAGGAGCTTTGTTGTACGTGTTCATGTCGTCCTTCATCCAAGGATGCAACTCAATCTGTGTATGAAACAGTGACTCCATAATGTTCGGCGGAGGAAGCTCCCGGAGCTCCAGGAGCAGTTGGTCCCACTCCGTCACGAACCTTTTGAGGTCATCTCCATGCATACGTAGAGTGTTGATCCTTTCGAAATCATGAATCGTATCGTCGGCGTCGGTCACATCGTAATAACGCAAAATCTTCCAGTAGATCTGACGTCCCTTTATCATGCGACCGTGCTTGTGCTCTGTGTTCTCCAGCAATTTGATATCCAGTTTCAATTCGCTGCTGAGAATCGCTTGTAAAGCTTCCGCGAACTTCAGATCCAAACTTGCGAAATCACCGCTGTCCTGTAGATCATCCAGTGTCACACCGGGCTGTTCTGCAACACAGAAGAACTTGTATGCAGCATCTGGACGCCCAGAGGCACTGCAGAAGGCCTTGCGGACTGCGTGCTGCCACTCAAGAACATGTCCGATTCTGGGAAGACCTGGAACACGCACACGCTCGCTCTCCTTCACCGGTGTGATGGTAGCAACAGGGCTCCCTCCGATGGTGTATTGAGACTGCATGACAGTAGCACCAAGGACGTTGGGCACTGGTGAGTGCGTGCGAAAGCTTGCAGCGTCGAAGTTTGCCTCCTGTGCAGGTGCTGCGGAAGCGGCCGGGGCCGCGGTCCTGCTGGCAGCTGACGGTGACACACGTCGGGCCTGTGGCTGGTAGCCAGCGGCTGGGGTTTCCCCCTGCACACCCCCCGCGTTCGAGGCAGGGGCGCCGGGAGAAGTGCGTCTGGAGGTCGGGGCTTGTGGTGGTACAGGTGTGTGCTGTGTAGCGTCAGCTACGTGGGCCTTGAATTGGTCTTCGAGAATGATGTTGTCACGTTGCAACTGTTCGATGCAGCCTGAGAAACCATCAACATTCCTCTGGACCTCGCGGGTCTTGTCTGTAAGCACGGAATACTGTCGTTGAGTAGACTGGGAAAGGTCTGTAAGAAGAGAACGTAGCTGATCCATGTCGGCCTTTACGCGCGACAGCTCCTGCTGCGTATCCGCCAGGCGGGTCTGCACTTCAGATACCCGTGCCTTTCCAGCATCCCTCTCAGAGCGAAGCTCGTGTAACTGCCTTTGCACGTGGTCCGCCTCCGCACGCACGGTCCGTTGTACGGCTGCCAGTACGGCGGGGTCGTCAACCGAAGAAGGGGGCACCAGCTGGCCAGTCTGGGCCCTTACAACGCGCAGCTCAGTCACGGCCTCTTCGAGAGTCAGGACTCTGGCGGTGAGCTTTGGGATCGAATCAACTTGGGAATCAGAGAAACGCTGGTTGACAGCATTTTCGGCTTGACAGAGTTTGCCGTAGAGATCTTGTTGGATTTGTTGGGTCTCAGCACGAAGATCAGATGTAGCGGACATCGTGGCGTCACGAAGCTCAATAATCTGGCCCTGGAGAGCTGAGGGAGCCGCGCCGGCGCTGGCGGCAGCAACTGCTTGGAGTTCATCGTGGAGAAACTTGGCGCGAGTATCATTGTGGTCACGCATATGGATAAAACGTGCTTCCAAATGAGAGAACTCGGAGTGCACAGCGGCAAGCTCGGAGCGGTCTTGGCCACGCTGAGCGGCAACAGCATCGACCTTCGAAACGAGTTGACACATGACGTGACGATCCTCGTACAACCTAGCGTCGACTTCCTGCAAACCTTTAGCGAGATCCGATCGCAAGATCGCAGTCTCAGTGGCGGTTGCCTGGTGCACGAGAGCAGTCTGATGCTCCACATACGTCTGTACCTGGTCTCTTAGCTCAGCCATATCTGTTAGGGGGACGGCGGCAGGCGCAGCCACAGGTGAGCTGACAGCGCGTCTTCGTGCCCTCTGGGAGGGACTGCGGCTGTGCAAATCCTGGGCTGCAATCTGGAACTGTTCGGGGCCACGTCTGTCACGAGGCGAAGCTGCGCGAGAACGAGAAACAGTGACTTGACGACCGGCGAAGGCTGCGCCGTCGCGGGTCTGAGCACGAAACTCGAGGGCGCGGACGTGCTCTCGGACTGGCGTCACGGCACGGGTGACTGGGTTCCGTCCTGGCGCGCCGGCGTTCGCGTGACTCCCGCCCCAGCGGCGAGATCCTCCAGAGCCTCTCTGCACGGGACTTCCCTGTGGAGGCGAAAGAGCCTCCGAGTGGGCCCCCCCAGCAGGGGCCCGAAAAGTCGGGGTCAGATTTTGAGGAGGTTGAGGAGTCTGGAGCTGAGGAACTCCAGGAGCCACAGGGTGTCTCGCTCTGACAGCATTTCTGGGCGGATCATTCCGTGGCACGAGGACCTCAGCGCTCTGAAAGAGATGCTGCGCAGCACCCGAGCTGCGGTCTCCCGCTGCATCTGACACGACGGGCGACGCGACGGGATGAACGACTGACGACGAGGAAGGGGCCTGGAACTGAGGAGTACCAGGAGCGTGTCCTTGTCCAGCGTCAAGACCCTCAATACCTGGAGAAATGGCCACACGATCAGCTCGCGGGATGCCATGCACGTCCATCAAAACTTCAATCTCCTGCTCCAAGTTGCGCGCCACGGGGTCCGCCACGCCGTCGCGAAGAGGCGCGGGGCCGAGAGGCGCACCGCCCTCCATCGCGACTGAGTGGGGGGCTCAGGAAGCGCGGAAGTTGGAGCGATTGCGTTTTGAACAGAGAAGGCTGATAACCTGTGTGAGGGGGAGGGGGACCGAAGGACCGAACCCACCCCCAAAGTGTCCGTAGGTAGACGTGATGAGGATGATGGAAGTTGTCCACTTCACCCTCTGAGTACGAGTACCTGCATCCGAGCCGAAAGGGGCGATGGATATGAGCAAGATAGGAGGAAAGTAGGGGGATTCACACACACGTCACGCTGCGCGAGAGCAGGCTCAAGATGAACAAGATCAGGGCGGCTCGAGGCTTCTTCAAATGACGAATCGATGGAGTAGTGGGCGAGAGCGCGGCGGCCGGCGGCAAGGCGGCCGGGAAAGGCGGCAATGGCGGCAAGGGCAAGGACGGTAGCGAAGGCAAGTCCAAGGACAAGAGGTGCGCCAACTGCGGCAGGATGGACCACGCTACACCGGACTGCCCGACGCCACGACCTCCGAGGCCGGCAAGCAAAGGCTTCAAGGGCCGCGGCAAGACCTCCAAAGCTCAGTCTCGTCCACGACGGTTGGGTTTCTGGGCGATGAACACGCTGGCGCGCGTCATGCTGGACATGTTCAACCAGAAGGACGCCCAGGACCAGGATCTCGCGACGGAGAAGTTCCAGGAGCCAGCCGAATACGACATCATGATGGCCAGCGCGGAGAGCGACCCGATCCTACCGAACGTGCCAGAAGTGGACGCGATGATCTCCAGTGCGATCGCGCTAGCTACCCCGGTGGACAGCGGCGCCTCCTAGGCGGTGGCAGGGCGCGGCTGGCTGGAGACGATCGCAGCGGAGCTCGAGAAGCACGGCCTGAGACACATCATCGTCGAGGCGAGCCAGAAGTTCAAGGGACTTGGCGGGGCACGACGCGAAGCGAAGCGAAAGTGGATCATCCCGATCGGTATCGGAACGACGCATGTCCTGCAGGAGTACATCGAAATTCCCGGTGACATGATCGGCTTGACGAGGAAGAAGAACCTGGCGGACTGGAAGACGAACCTCTACCTGCGCGAGGACGGCCAGTGGGTCGACTTCCAGGAGCTCGGGGTGCACGACAAGGAGCTCGCGAAGCTTCCAGGCGGCCACGCAGGCATCGACATCTTCGACTACGACCTGGAGTCGTACGAGGCGGAGCCCCTCCTCGAGAAATCCCGCATCAACGTCGAGAACGTCGAGCAGGAGGCCTTCCTGGTCGCGGAGACGCTGCAGGAGTCCAAGCCAGATTTCACGGTCAAGGACGACGCCGACTGGTGGGTCCAGGAGGCCATGAAGAACGGCAGCAAGGGGATCTTCAAGAAGGGTACGCTCAAGCGGATCGACAAGATCATGAAGGAGTATGCGGTCATATTCGACGTGCTGCGCGACAACAACGAGACGTTTCTCTGGGAGTTGTTCGCGGAGGAGGCGCGCTTTACTCATATAGCTTCGAGGGGCGGTCACGAGAATGCGACCCCCTCGGACTTGTCTAATGGCGTGAACTTTAACGACCCTCAGACGCGATCAGATTTCCTGTTTTTGATCAGGACCTTCAAACCCTGGATGGTTCCGGTCGCATTCCCGTGTACCACCCACACGAATATGCAAGAGTTACAGCGTGCTCAGGGCATGGGCGACCGGGTGGACGACCTTATCCAGGAGCTTCGGCCGCTGATTGAATTCTCAGCGGAGGTGCTCAAGCTCCAGGCTGAAGGAGGACGGATCGGCATCGGCGAGAATCCCCTCACCTTATGATGGTTATGTTCTCCTCTGGGCCTTCAAAACAAGATATGCAGGAACATGCTATTTTGATGGTTTTTAACATCCTTAAAACACATGGTGTTTTGATGCATCTTGGTTTTCGCAAGCGCGGTGATTCTCAGTGCCGCCAGTCGCGCACGTGGAGTTGCATGACTGATTCGTTGTGTATTTCGCAAGGCGCATCCGCAAGTCTCTCGATTTGAAGCCTACCCGCATTTCGCATACCCAATAGTCGGCGGCAAGGAGCCACGGAAATGACGATTACCGCAGCGGTGGGGCCATTCGGCATCTTCGACAGAGCTACGGAACGATTCACAGAGGCGTCGGCCCATCGAACGGGCCAGGGGCACGGGCGACGGGGCGAATCGGAGGGCAAACGTTGAGCTAGAGTTAGTTGGGTCAGAGCTGTGATGAAAGCGATGTTAAGGTGTAGTTGGCTCAAGGGGCTCAAGGGGCTCAAGGGGCTCAAGGGCGCCACAGGGGCTAGGCTGGGGGACGGGCGGCTTGGCTGTTCTCGAGTGCGGTGGGGCCGCATCGAGGGACATGTCGGGCGTGGGAGCCTGTCGCCCTGCCGCGGTCGCCCTGACGGAGCTGGAGAGACATGCGGGGCGCGGGCTGACTTCCGTCGAGACCCTGCGCGCGGAGTCGAAGCGGCTGCGGGCGGGCACGGAGGGCCTGCTGGACAGGATCGAGGCTAGCTTCAGGACGTCCCGCGCCGCGGCCTCGTCCCCGCTGGAGGCGCGCCCGGGGCGCGCTCGAGGGCGCCGGCAGGAGATCGCGCAGCGGTCAGGGCCAGCGCTGCAGCTGACCAGCGCCTTTGGATCTGGGAAGTGCGGCGAGTGCCTCTGCTGCCCGGCGGGGTCGCCCAGCGCCGCACGACACCTGGCATCTCGCCCGCCGCCAGAGCATAGAGGAAACCAGGAGGAGGCGGCCAGGAGCAGCGAGAAGAGGAGGAGGGGGATGAGGAGGCGGCCGAAAGGCGGCATAGCGCACGAGGAGGAAGCTGAGGACGAGGCCGAGGATGAGGCCGAGGACGAGGAGGCCGATGAGGCGGCTGAGGAGAAGGAGGAGGAGCGTGCCGCACGACCTGCCCGGTTCCGCCCAAGGTAAAGGTTCGTCTGGGCCGCGGTGCTTTGGGCCGCCTGCGCGGTGCCGGCACCAGATGTCCTGCTCAGGCTCTCGTCGCCGAGTGGCACTCCCAGGACTGGCAGTACCGCGGCAGAGAGCAGCACGACATGGACGTCCACCGATTTTGTGCGCGGGATTGCGCACGACGCTTGTGGGCAGCACGACAGAGACCAGCAGGACGACTTTGCCACCCATGAGGGGGACGGGTATTCGGACGAGCGCCATCCGTCCGACCAGCACGACGGCGACATGCAGCAGGCCGACTGGCGGCACGATGGGGCCCGACAGCACAGCTTCGACACCCACGACTGGGACGACCAGTGCGGCATGCAGAAGGCCCCGTTGCAACAGTTCAGGGGCCAGCACCACGACTTTGACGCCCACGAGGAGGACGAGGATGAGTCCCGCGCGACCGAGGGCCACGATGGCGACCTGCAGCAGATCGACGGGCAGCACGACGGGGAGCTACAGCACTTCCAGGACATCCACGACTGGGACAATCATGATATCTCGGGGATCTTCTGACCCGGGTCAATCCAGACCCGGGTCAGCAGGAAACCAAAAACTGCAATGCAGGAAAAAAAAACTGCAACGCAGGTCTTCGCAAACCCGGGTCAGCCAATATGTGCGGCCGCCTCGCGGCCACGAGCGGCTCCCTAACCCGGGTCAGCCAGAGGGGGTCTTCGCAGGATCCTGCAGGATCTGGCGCCCTGGCTGACCCCCGTTTGCGTTGACCCCCGTCTCAAGGCTCCCGAATATCAGCGCCTGCGCATACGCCGGCAGCAACGCCATCGCCCACGCCAGCACTGACGCCAGCACCAACGCCGGCGCCTACGCCGGCACCAACGCCAGCGCACACACCAGCACCGACTCCAGCTGCATCGCAGGGCTCCCTCTAGGGAGAAATCACCACGGGGAAGATGTAGATAACCGATTCGGACAGGTCGGCCCGCCTGGTGAAAGGGGCGCCCTCGCTGGTGGAGAGGGGCCTTCGTGTTCGGCATTCCAGGGCGGTCGGACGGGATCCGAGCCGACCCAGTTGTTTCAACAGATGTCAGAACAGGTCGGCCCGCCTGGTGAAAGGGGCGCCCTCGTTGTTGGTTTAGAGGGGCCTTCGTCTTCGGCATCCCAGGGCGGTCGAACGGGATCCGAGCCGACCCAATTGCTTCAACAACGTCCCTCGTCGCCACGGCCAGATTTGCCTCGGGACTCTGATGGGGCCAACCCCGCACAAGACGTCCGCGACGACGGAGTCGAGCAGTACGTCGGCAACCAGCTCTACGCGGTACGAATGTCCACCGACCGAAATATCCTTCTCACACGCGGCTCCGAATGCCGCCAACACTCACGGGTAGCCCTGGCTGAGCCTTGCACTGGGATCGTGGTGCACCTGCCGTGAAGTCACCCATCGCAGGATCCGCGCGAGGGCTCACGTCGCCCAACCCAAAGCCCCAGGCTTGCGGGCTCTGGGCTGACGGGCCTCTTTGCGAGTCGTGCCTCCCTCGCGCGAATCTAGCTGCACACAAAATGTTGGGACCTGACGGCAGGACATGCGAATCGCCAGCCAGGTGCCAATACCCCGCACACCCTGCAAAGGAGTGCGCCAAAGAGCGTACTGCTCATTTCAACGTTTTCGCACGCCGGCCTTGCTCCTTCCAGTTTGTCTGCGGTCGCCTGCAGATTGTACGACGGAGATCCGAAGGGGTAGTTTTTTTTGAAAATGCCATCAACATATGCTTGTGGTCATACTCATACCGTCGCATATCATAGCGCCAGTGCGTTCTGCTCCAAGCACTCCCTGTTTCCACGATATTCTTAACTCCACGCATGCACATGTCATTTGAGCTATAGCCATTATCAGGTTCTTTAGGCATAAAACTCCATTCAGGCATGAAAAATCTCCTGGAACCTCAAACTACCGTCAGGATGGCATCCCTGACCGCCCTGACATCCTCTCCCCCTTTAGACACAAACGCACACACACATACAGTATCAAACAGTACCTGCACTAAGGCGTTATCTCTTTATTGACGACTGATGAGAAGTGCTCCTATTGGCTAGATGTTGAGTGAAGACATCCCCATGAGGTGTCCTAGAGTGTCGCTGGTCGTGAGACGGCCCAGCGGGCCAAGGTTTTAAACAACGAGAGAGCGTGATCCACGGCCGCTTTCTTGTGGAAAATTGCCCCCCCTCTTCCTCCGGAGCCCAGGGGTCCCCCCCCCTCCGAAAATCGCCCCCCCTGCTGGACCCCCCCCCCCTTCCCCCTCCCCCGGCAACCCCCCCCCCTTTCCCCCTCGAAAACCGGGGGTCACTACCGGTTCGAACCCTCCCCCCCCCTCGAACACCGGAGGGGGTCACTACCGAATCGACCCCTCCCCCACCCCCCCTCACCGCCAGCAAACGCCTCCTGGTCCCTACCATCGTCCGCACCACATCCCCCACTGTTGTTCCCAGCGCCACTGTCCTCACCACCACTGTCCCACTGGTTCCACCACCGTCCCTACTGTCCCCACCAGTGCCCCCACCACTGTCGTACTGTCCCCACTGTTCCCGCCACTGTTCCCACCACGGTTCCACTCTCCCCATTTTCTCCACGGCCCCAACCATTGCCCGACTATCCCCACTGTCCCCACTGTCCCACTGACTCCTCCGCTGCCCCACTGAGCTGTCCCACTGTTCCCACCACTGCCCCACTGTCCCCACCACTGTCCCCACTGTACCTCTGTCCCACTGTCCCACCGCCGTCCTCGCCACCGCCTTCACCACTGTCCCACCACCACTGTACCCTCCACTGTCCCACTGTTTCCACCACATTCCCACTGTCCCCACACCTCTGTCCCCACCACCACCGTCCCCACCACTGTCCCACTGTCCCCACTGTTCCCACCATTGTCCTCACCACTGTCCCCACTACTACCGTCCCCACCAATGTCCCGCTGTCCCCACCACTGTCCCGCTGCCCCCTCACCACTGTCCCCACCACCACCGTCCCCACCACTGTCCGCACCCCCGCCCCGGTTTTCGAGGGGGGGGGGGTTCGAACCGGTAGTGACCCCCCCCCCGGTTTTCGAGAGGGGGGGGGGTCGAACCGGTAGTGACCCCCCCTTTTTCATAATGGACTGGGGGGGGCGGGGGGGGAGGGGTTCGAACCGGTAGTGACCCCCCCCGGTTTTCCGGAGGGGGGGGGGGATTCGAACCGGTAGTGACCCCCCACGGTTTCCCGCCAGCAGCGGTAGAACACGCTCTTTCTAAACAACTGTGCGATTGACAACCAACAGTGTCTCAAAAATGCCACCAATTCTGCGTGCAAGCTGTGGTCACAATTTACAAACTCGCTGTAACCATAGCCCGCTAAGCCACGCTTCCATTCCCCGCCGTCGTGCGTCGACGTAGATAGTGTGAAACTATACGAACTGCGGCCTGCGTCCTGCAAGTGCCCCCCGTCGGAATGACATTGCAAAGCCGGTGCTTCTCTGATTGTATTATTGTCTTCGTTGACCAAAGCAGACCCGCCCTGCAAGCCAATGTTGGCCATGACATCCGCTGCTGTGTTCCGCTCTCGGGAGCGCCAAAACACGGGAGCACCATGCTTACGCCAGGTAAAGCGAGTGCCAACAACGCGAAAAAAAAACAGCCTGGATGGACCATACGAGCTGATTCAATGTCGTATCAGTGGTCACAGTTTCATTGTCCACAACAAATTCAATATGCTTCGCTGGCAAGCCTAGATCCCAAAGCATACCAGCTTCTGTCACGCTGGGCAAGAACATTTCTGACAGGATGTTCATGCAATTGCACGGGATCCCGCTGATAGCGGCCCCGTCATCATTTGCCCAAGTTTGCTGGACGGCGGACATGCCAGTAGTTCAGCAGGGTCCATCCCATAGGTTCCTGGCCTTCGTTATCTCTGTCTGTTGGATATTCTGTCAGTTGCATTGGGCATTGGGCCACGGCCATCCTACACCCAGCTGCCCCTGTCTGTTGGAGTTTCCTTGAATACGACTCGCGCCCAGTCAGTGGTTTGGGCCCACGTGAGGGCAGCATGCATAAGATTCGCGCCCAGTCACATCATTGGTCGGCGTTGACCTTCCCAGAGCGTCTCAGAATCCAAAACCGAACTCACGAAACATGTCAAGGACACCGGATGGCCATGCTGTGCCTGCTGCGCTCGGGAGCGCCGTCACCGGAGTGCACCAGCCCCCCTCCCCATTCGGTGGCAACTCATGGGAGCCTCCCCTACCGTCTTGTTGGCCGACGGCAATCGACGCTAATCGACGCTCATCGACTGTGATCGACGCTAAACCGACGCTAATCGGTGCGAGCCAACGCCAATCGACGCCAAATCGGCGCTACCTCATCGATTCCCAGACGCTAATCGACGCTAAGGACGGAATTAAGACGGCCCAGAAGGTTCCCATAATAAGCTACCGAATCTAGCGGTGGCGACGAGGCGAATCCAGAGGTGGCCACGAGGGCCTCCCAGGAGGCCCAAAAAGGGGAAAACGAGGCAAGGGTAGCGATATGGGTACCTTTCCCTCCTCCAAATCCCTGGCTGGAGTGCACTAGCCCCCCTCCCCCTCTTCCCCGCGTCTGCTGGCCTTCTGCGCGAGCTCGAAGTGCTTCCTCGGAGGGCAGCCGCTAATGCCCGCCCCGCTCCCTCCCGTGCTCCCTTCGCGCTCGCCGCTTCCTCCACTCGGTAATTCGAAGATGGGGTCCTGAGGCATGGGGTCCTGAGGAAAGGAAGGAGTCCAAAGGTGGACTTAAACTGTATGAGACACCTCGTCCTGCGGGCCCCATGCCTCAGGCACCCCATGTTCGAACCACCGATCCACGTCTCCCATCCTTCTGGTCCCCTCCGCCCCTCGTGCAACCCCTTCCCCGACGTTCACCTCGCTACGACCTGCTGCCGCTCCTGTCGCTCCACCTGAGCCTACCTGGGGCGGGCCGTGATACCCGCGCCGCGCGTGGCCACCCACAGCCCACTGGAGCGATGCAGAATCTCCTCCTCCACCAAGCCTACAGCAGCGTCGTGTCGTGATGGTGTCAGAACTGGTTGCTGACACCGCGTGAGCCGCGCCAAGTTGAACGATTTCCAAGAGCTGCCGTGTGGTCCCCATATGCCCAGAAGGGGTCGGGGTCTTCAATGTTGCCGACCTGAGAAATCGGAGGGCGGGAGATCTGAGACGGATGTGGAGGCTTTCCAAGCTCGTACTTTCCAAGCTTAGGTTGTGGAGGCCCCCTGGGGTAAGAAGATGCGGTGCGATGCGACCACCGTGGCGGACAGTGCCCAGGCCTAACTCTGACCCGATGAGTGACGCCGTGGCCTCGGTAATCTGGCCTGTCAGGATACGTGCCATGCGAGACACATCAAAAAAACTTGGAGGAGGAGGAAAAGGGAGAAGAGAAAGTCCTTGTTGTAGGTGCCAGCGCAGGCTGAGCGTGTCGTCGTGACTTTATATGGGCGCTTACATGATGGGTGTTGGTCCTGGGTGTTTGCTGGTGTGAGGTCGGCGTAGTGGAGGAGGAAAAAGAGGGGGGGATCAGAGGAGGAAGACAGAGGAGGGGGACGAGGGGTCGAGGACAAGAATTTGGAGCGTCGGCCCCTGGAGGAGCAACAGCTGAAGCAGGAAGACGGGGAGGAGAACGAGGAAAAGGGAGAAAGGAGCGAAGAAAGGAGAGAGTGAGGAAGGACGGAAAGGTCAAAGAAGGCATGAGGCAAGGATGGGGCGTGGGAGGTGGGCTGAGCAAGAAAGGAGACGAGGAGAGGCGAGGGGATGAGAGGAAAGGAGAGGAGAACGGTATGGCGGGAGGAGCGGAAGGGGGGAGAAAGAAGAGGTAGGAGGGGGGGTGGGGGGGCAAGCTAGGTGCGCTCGCGTCACATTTGACAACCTACACATCCATCTCGCTGCTGCTCTTACTCTTATCTGTTCACCGAACCAGGCTCGATACCAAGATGGCGTCTGCAATGCTTGTCGCGGAGGGCGATCGGGCGATATATTGATGAAGAGACTCTTGGTAAAACAATGCGAATAATCGGGCTGCGTCGAGTCAAATTGGCGGAACTACAACCGTTTTCCCCAGTTTTGCATTTCGACGTGGACTGCGGGGCGCGAGCAGGGCATTGCGCCCGCGCGCGCGCGAGGAGAACCCATTTCTGAGAGATCTCCCAGCGCAGCCCCCCCCCTCCCCCCCCGCGCCCCTCTAGAACCCTATCCAAACGGACAGGCGCGCCCCTGCCTGGGATCGAGGGGTCCCAGGGTCTCCCCCAGTTACAATAGCAGTGTGTATACGTGTATATATATATATATGCATCCACGCATATGTATTTATATGTGTATATATATAAAGAAAGAGAGAGAGAGAGAGAGAGAGAGAGAGAGAGAGGTGACGGTATATCGCAACACCCCGTCGCAAAAAATAGGTATTCAAAATCCCGCACCACTGCGAAGAGGTCCCGCAAAGTCCCCAACTGGTACTTCTTTGGTACAACTTGAGGCACACAAGCGACACATACCTCAAGTGGTACGCGTCCAGTGGCACTCAATCGTATATCATGTATATCTTAAGCACGCAAACCAGCACCGTCACAACTTCACAGTCGTGCCATCGGAAATACCGACACTTTTGTTTTTTTACCTCACCCTCGATTACTGCGATTCGTTACAGCAAGGCGTCGCTGCAGCGTGCCACAGAGGGTTGCGACTCGGACTAGGTGGTCAGGCGGCCACCGTACCAAGGGACCAGAGAAGAGACCCCAAACAGCAGGAGGAGAGAGGGACAGACAAGCAGTTTAGGGAACAATTAGGCCTGAAATGATTGATCGGGCCGATGCAGCTTTCAACTGTCATGGCTCAATGGGCCCATTGAAACAGCAAGCGCGCCGAGGGCCTGATGGGGGAGAAGAGGACGAGGAGGGGAGGGAGACGGGAGAAGGAAACCACGCACAATGTACAGCAATGCAGCCGCCCTCGGCCGTCGACGTCCAGCCGTGATTTGTACCCCCGGGGCCAATTCAGCCACAAAACGAAATCACGACTACACTGAGTAGTGTATCTACAACTGGAACCACAGGTGCAGATGCGCACTGTCCGTGCACAGGAGGGGGAGGAGGAGGAGGAAGGAGGAGGAAGAGGCCTCTAAATCCCAGCAGCGAACATATTGAAAGTGAGCTTGTAGTGAACATGTGGTGCTTGGGCCCCCGAAGAAGTGGAGGACGGCCGAAAGCCGCAATGACGAGCGAACCGCCCTAACCAACTCTCCGGGCTCGCGCCCTAGCGCCAATCGAGGTCCTCCAGACCCGAAGGGACGGTCACCCACCACCCACCCCAGAGCCAACGCCAAGGCACCGCCGCCGGCCGCGCAGCCAATCAGCATCACGCCACTTATCAAACTATCTAAACCTGCAGCGTGCACAACATTAAAAAACTATACATGCATACGCCCACGACCGGAGAACCCAGCGGACAACCCGAATGGAGGACAGCGGGGGGGTGGACAGAGACGTGCCAACCCTCCTGCATAGCAAGAGGCCGTCGCGGCGGACCAGGACGCTAGGCGGGGGGCGGCCCCCGCAGGTACACCGCCTCGCCGCCCTATACAGGCAGCCCCAACTCCCGCAGGTACATTGGAGTCGCCCTGTACACGGCATGGAGACCGCAGAGAGGTAGACCGAGACAAGCCAACCTCTCCGCTCGAATAGCGCAGCATTGCGGCGGCACGCAGCACACGGGCAAACGGTGGACAGGATTGCACGCATGCGTGCAGACTGCGTTCGCGGGCTCGGCAAGGCAACGAAAACAAGTGGGCACAGAGTGCTGGAACTTGCCGGCTCAGCAGCGTCAAAGGAGGAAGAGGAGGAGGAAGGAGAGAAGGTGGGTGGACGCCGGCGTGTCGCACGCGAGCTGCTGCGAGTCCCTCGCGAAGGTCCCACGCACTGAAACTTCGGTCCACACTGAAAATCTGCAGCAACGCGCCGTTACGACAGAAACTTCCTGTTCTGGCCCAAAATCGGGGCAGACGCGCACAGCTAGGTCGGATTGCCCCGCGCGCAGAATATCGTGTCTGGCTGGATTCGTTTGCTGTCCCGGCCGCGTGGCCGATGGCGCCAACGTGGTCGAAGCTATGGCAAAATCAGAATCGGCATCGCGACACTCCCGCCGAAAGTCGCGCTGATCGTGCGCTCTCCGGCCGGGTGGGCGCGCGCAGCACTGTCAGCAGACTAGTGGCGCCAGGGCCTGCCGAATGTAGCAAAAACAACACATGCCTGATGGATGGGTGGGAACGAAGAAGAAGGCACGAGGGAGCGGGGGAGGGGAGCGAGAGGGAGGAACAAGGGCAAGGCAGGGCGGAAAGACCCGCGGAGCCTCCCGCCGCAAGAAGCGGGGGGCCTCCCGGCCAGAAAGGAGAGGAGGGACGATGCAATTTTCGCCGGCGCACAGAGAAGAGGGAGAAGGAGGAGGAATTAGAACCAAAACGACTACGGAAGGCAGAAAATCAGGATCGCCGCGGTCGCACCCGCCGTCTGCGATGACTCTGAATCCATTGTCGCAGTCTGCGGACCCTCGGCGTCCCGACCGGGCCGGCTGGCATGGCAGTCCGAGGGCGGTCTGCCTCCCAGCGCCGCCGCAAGATAGCAGCAGCTCGCCCGTGGCCTTTGACGCCCTCTTTCACGGCCTGCGATAGTGCCTGAAATCTGCCCTCCTCCGTGCGGAGTGCGCCGCGACCGGCGTGACGAAGCCTGTTGGTCACGCAGGCGAGATCCTCCGCGGTCTCCAGCTCTGGCGTGCACAACGTCCACGCGTGCAAACCTGAAAATGCATTGGCGTCAAGGCGGAGACGTGCCCCGAGAAGCCTCCGCACCACCCGACAGCGGCTGTAGTGCTTGATGCTATCTTCGGCCCCCTCCAGCTCGCATTGCAGGCAGCGGCTCTGATGGCGACGCTGGCATCTAGCCGCCGTGGTCCCACGATTCCAGATGCGCCCCCACGTCGCGCAGTGGACTCTCGGGGGGACTAGTGGACTCAGGGCCAGCAAGTTCGAGTGCCCTCTGGAAGCCTGATGCCGCGGCGTCTGCTGGCGAACCGCGCTTGGGATCCGGCCGTGAATGCCGGCGTCGCCCAAAGCCCAGGTCTCGAGTTTGCTCCGGAACCGGCCTGCCGGGTCGCCGACGGGCGATGCGGACATCGCTCACCGCGCCAAAACACGTCTGCAGATCGTCGTTTGTGTCCTGGAGGCGGAGCAGAAAGCTGCGCGAGTACCAGTCGGTCCACCCCAAGGCATCAGCGTTGGCCCAGGCCCGTCTTAGCTGCGCGCAATCCCCCCTGAACTGGCGCTGGCCGTCGATGCCTCTGTCGCAGTGTAGGATTCGCATCTGCGACGCCGCAGCCATCCACTCCAGGTTGTGGAAAGACGCGGCCCCGCCGTAGGCGTCTCGCAGAAGCCAGAGGTCCAACGGGGAGGCCCAGGCTGTGGTACCAGAAGCCAGGCGGAAGAGCGCGGACGGCGCAGCCGTCACCGTGCAACCTTGGACTTCTTCCAGCACGCGAGCGTCGGGCCGCTCCAGTTGCGCCGCGAACAGCAGCGTCGGCAGAATAAATGCGTTGAAAACCCGAGCCTGCCAGCGC